CACAAAGCTAACATCACACTGATTCCCAAACCGGGTACAGATCCAACGAAAAAGAGAACTATAGGTCAATATTCCAAATAAACATAGATGCAAATATTTTCAACAAGATTTTAGCAAATCGGATCCAACAACACATCTCAAAAATCATCCACTATGACCAAGTAGGCTTCATCCTCAGGATACAGGGATGGTCGAATATTCACTAGATCATAAATGTAATTTAATACATCAATAGATGTAAAACCAAGAACCACATGATTATATCATTAGATGCAGAAAAAGCTTTTGATGAAATCCAGCATTGATTCTTGATAAAAACACTCGAACACCTAGGCACAGAAGGAACGTACCTCAAAATAGTAAGCGCCATCTATTATAAACCCACAGCCAGCATATTGCTAAATGGACAGAAACTGGAAGCATTTTCCCTGAAAACCGGAACAAGACAAGGATGCCCACTCTCACCCCTCCTGCTTAACCCTGTGTTGGAAGTTCTAGCTAGAGCAAATAGACAAGAGAAGGAAATCAGGGGTATCCAAACAGAAATAGAAAAAGATAAGTTATCCCTCTTTGCTGATGATACAATCCTATACCTCGAAAATCCAAGCGAGTCTGTCAAAAACCTCCTGGCACTGATAAAGGACTTTGGCAAAGTTTCAGTGTATAAAACAAATGTGCAAAGGACAGTCACATTCTTATACACCAACAACAGACAGGCAGAGAACAAAATAAAAAGCACAACCCCATTCACAATAGCCAAAAAAAGAATGAAATACCGCAGCATCTTCCTAACCAGAGAAGCCACCTTTACAATGAAAATACAAAACACTGCTCAAAGAAATTCAAGAAGACACAAATGGAAAAAATATTCCATGCTCATGAATAGGAGTAATCAACATTGTTAAGATGTCCACCTACAAAAGGTAATCTACAGATTCAACGCAATACCCATTAAATTGCCAACATCATTCTTCTCAGATCTGAAAATGACAATACAAAAATTCATATGGAAACATAAATCACCCCGAACAGCCAAAACAATCTTTAGCAAAAGAAACAAAGTGAGTGGGAGGTATCACACTTCGAGGCTTTAAACTTTACTATAAGGCTACAAAAATCAAAACGCCCTGGTATTGGTACAAGAACAGGAATATGGACCAATGGAACAGGATACAGATTCTGGAAGCAAAGTCTCAATTTCTCAACCAACTCATCTTTGACAGAGCCTCCACCTACAACCATTGGGGAGAGGAGAACCTATTCAGTAAATGGTGCTAGGAAAACTGGCTGACCACATACGGAAGAATGAAACAGGACCCTTACCTATCACCATACACAAAAATAAACTCTAAATGGATCAAAGACCTAAATGTAAAACCTCAAATTATAAGAATCTTAGAAAACGCAGGAGACACCCTTACAGAAATCGGAGTAGGCAACCGACTCCTGATCAAAACCCCAAATGTCCATGCCATAAGAGAAAAGAAAGACAAGTGGAACCCTTATTAAACCAAAAATCTTCTGCAAAGCAAAAGAAACCATCAAGAGAGCAGGGAGACAGCCCACAAAAAGGGAAAAAAATATCTGCCAACTGTATATCTGATAAAGGCCTACAACAAACTCAAACGTGCCAAAAGGAAAAAAACAAACAACCCCATTAAAAAGTGGGCAAAAGACATAAATAGACACTTCTCAAAAGAAGATAGACAGGCAGTCAACAGACACATGAAAAAGTGCTCAGCCTCACTAATCAAATCAAAGAAATGCAAATCAAAACCACATTGAGAAACCACATTGAGATCCCAGATCCCAGTAAGAATGGCCAACATTAATAAAACAAACAATAGATGCTGGGAAGAATGCAGAGAAAAAGGAACACTGCTACACTGCTGGTGGGAAAGCAAACTAGTACAACCTTTATGGAAAACAGTGTTGCGATTTCTTTTTATTTTTTTGAGTTGGAGTCTCACTCTGTCGCCCAGACTTGGGTGCAGTGGCACGCTCTCCGCCACTGCAGCCTCGATCTGCTGGGCTCCGGTGATCCTTCCGCTTTAGCCTTCCAAGTAGCCGGAACTATAGGCGTGCACTACCACGCCCGGCTAATTTTTGATTTATTGTAGAGACGAGGTCTCGCCAAGTTGCCTGTACGGGTCTCAAACCCACAGGCTCAGGAAATCCTCTTGCCTTGGCCTCCCAAAGTGCTGGGATTACAGGCTGAGCCACCCAGCCCAGCCTGGCGATTTCTAAAAGAACTAAAAATTGACCTTCCATATGACCCAGCAATCCCACTACTGGGAATATACCCGGAGGAACTCAAATCATTCTACCAAAAAGAAAACTGCACATGCATGTTTACTGTAGCACTATTCTCAATAGCAAAAACACGGAACCAACTGTGCTGCCCATCGAAACTAGACTGGATAAAAAAATGTGGTATATAAACACAATGGAATATTAGTCAGACAAAGAAGGACAATTATATGGATTTCGCAGCAACTTGGATGGATTTAGAGTCTATCATACTCAGTGATCTATTACAGAAAAAGAACTGAGTACCACATGTTCTCACTCACAAGTGGGCCCTGAACATTTATCATAATACTATAAGAAAGGGATTGGCAGTAGTGGGATACTGCTAGGGTGGGTGGGTGGGGGACACAACATCAATAAGGGTACCTGATCTCAAACCAGCAAAGTGGGAACCAAAGGGAGACCCAAACTTTATCTGTATGATGTCCACTTGTATAGCTAATCCTGAATTGTACCCCATACCTTTAAAATAAAATAAGTATAAAAAAAGAAAATTATGATTCCCTGATTCCAGCTTTTAAAATTAACTATTATAACTATGTAGAAACAGGAAAAGATATTTATAAACTGTCAAGCAAAGAAATCAGAATTCAAAACTGCATACATACTGTGGCTCTGAAACTGCATACAAAAGCATCAGAGTAAATTCAGAGGGATATAGTGAGATATTTTAAAATTTTTAGAGAGAGACTGCAATACTCAACATGTTAGACTACTAACTCCAAGTTCACAGTTACATTAGAATGTGCTCCATTCCTTTTAATGAAGTTATATTTGTGGAGCCTGATTTTGGGAAGATGCTATGATAAAAATAAGTACTGTGTGAAGATTAATGTGGAAAGGAGAGTGGAAGTATCCAATCTGATTGCAAGATTTAAGAAGTAATGCAAGCCGGGCTCGGTGGCTCAGCCTGTAATCCTGCGCCTTTGGGAGGCTGAGGTGAGTGGATTGCCTGAGCCCGCAGGAAAAAAAATCAGCCGGGCGTGGTAGTGCATGCCTGTAATTCCGGTTACTCAGAAGGCTGAGGAGGAAGGATCGCCGGAGCCCAGCAGGTCGAGGCTGCAGTGGCCGGGAGTGGCCACTGCACTCCAGACTGGGCGACTGAGTGAGACTCCAACTCAAAAAAAAAAGAAGTAATGCAGTACCCAACAAATACAAACATTCCAGTAGTATATAATTTCGGTCATTTAAAAATAAATGGCTATTAAGTTGTTAGGACATAAATCTTATTAAATTATTTGAATGTAAGTATTTTATAAATGGAATTGTTTGGTACTTCCTTTGGTTTGGGGTACCATGATAAAATTTCTGAGACACTAAGGAGTCCATGAATGAGAAAATTTGGGAACGTCTGATGCACACTATAACTGCAAATAAGCTAAAAAAAAAAAAAAAAGAGCACACAAATACAAAGAAATTATGCCAACTTGATAAGTTAGAATAAGAACTGTGGCATTTTTTTTTTCAATTTTTTTTTTTTTAATGCTATTGCTATACTGATTTTACTAAAAAGGGAAAGAAAAGCTAAGCTTGTTATAGCCATGAAAATAGTCCTCTAGGTTATTCATTTCTCAGGTCAGAGACTCCAAAATTATAATCAAAGGCTTACTTTACCTTGCTTTTTAGTTTTAATAACAGAGATCTTACAACATTTCCTTACTTAAAACAACAAACAATAATAATCTCTCAGAGCATTCTTATTAAAAAGATTCAAATATAAATTCTAGTATTTCTATAGTATTATACATTTTATAAGCACATTTACTTGTATCATTATAATTTTGAGACTCATATCAACATTACAGTCAGGTTTGTAACATTTTTATTCTCATTTTATTGATGAGAAAACTGAGATTAAAAGAAATTCTCAATGTTGTGCAAATATCTGTTGAGCATCCAAAACATAAGGCACTATTAGATAGAACACTAAACAAAATAGTTCATAATTTTTGACCTTATAGTCTATGGAGCTTATATTCTTGAAGCAGACCCAGAACCCAAATCCAGGATTTTAAACCCCAAATATAGTACTTTTTTTTGTTAGTTTTGTTTTAAATCTCATTACTTGTTTAAACTTCACTTCCAAACACCTGTTCTATATAATATAAACTGTAACAATAAAATTAAAGATAAAAAAATATGAGCCTCAGCAAGTGGAAGGTATTTATAATTTAGTGGAAAAAGAATAAAATATGCACAGTATAGTGGGTTGAATGATGGCCGACCAAAAGATATACTCATGATTTAACCCCTGGAATGTGCAAGTATAACTTTATTTGGAAAAGGAGACTTTGTAGCTATAATTAAGTGAAGGATCTTGAGACTAGATCTTCCTGGATTATTTAAGTGGGCTCCATCTAAATCCAGGGTCAAGTATCCTTATGAGAAACACACACAGTGGAGACACAGAGAAGGCTGCCATGTGAAGACAGAGGCAGAGACAGGAGTTAGACAGTCACAAGCTAAGGCATACCTAGAGAGACCTGAAATTGGAAAAAGCAAGGAAGAATTTTCGCCTAGGGCTTCGGAGGATGAAAAGCCCTGCCAACACCTTGATTTCAGATTTTTTGCCTCCACACAGTGAGGAAATAAAGTCTGTTGTTTTAAGTCACCAAGTTTGTGGTCATTTGTTATGGCAGCCACAGGAATCTAATACACAAAGGTGTAAAAAAAAGTAGTATAAAAATTACCTCTGTTATTTTAACCGCTTTCCTCATTTGTTGACGTTCCCAAACATCTTGATATTCCTCTTCCTGACTTTCTTCACTTGCTTCTTCATTTCTATTTCCTAGGGGATAAAAAAAGTTCACATATAAACATTCAATATTTTTCCATTCCAAACTGCAGCCACCATTTTGGGGTCTTATTATATGTAGCCTTAGCACCACTTTACAGTTATTTATTCTTTACAATAATTCTGGAAGAAGAATCTATTATTGCCCTCCTTTCAAAAATTAGGAAACATGAAGAATGGGAGGGTAAATAACTTTTCTGAGGACTATGTTGAAGCTGGAACTTCAGTCAGTAGAAATTGGATCCAGAGATCTGACTCTAAAACCTATACTGTATTACCAAACCATTCCACTTATACAGCCCCAAATACATAAAAACTTGAACTACAGGCACACACCACCATGCCCAGCTAATTTTTTGATTTATTATAGAGACAAGGTCTCACCAAGTTGACCAGACTGGTCCCACTTCTACAGCCCCAAATACATAAAAACTTGAACTACAGGCACACACCACCATGCCCGGCTAATTTTTTGATTTATTGTAGAGACGAGGTCTCACCAAGTTGACCAGACTGGTCTCGAACCCATAGGCAACATATCTGCAATCCTCTCATCTTGGCCTCCCAAAGTGCTGGGATTATAGGCTTAAGCCACCATGCCCAGTCCTTTTTTTTTTTCTTTCTTTTGAGTCAGGGTCTCACTCTGTCATCAAGCCAGAGTGCAGTAGCACAATCATGGCTCACAGCAGCCTTAAACTCCTGGGCTCAGGCGACTGGCCTCCCGAGTAGCTGGAATTATAAGCATGTGCCACTATGCCCAGTTAAATTTTTTTAAAGACAAAGTCTAACTATGTTGCCTAGGCTGCTTAAAAATAATTTCTGAGTTATAAAGAACCAAAGTCTCATTTAAAAAATATATTATCTAAAGTTACAAAAATTTTGGTAAAAAGAATATACTCTAAATCAGAAATGTGAAAATAGTCCTCTGAGAGTCATTATTATTGATAAATTTTATTACAGCAGAAAATATTTTAATACATGACACCTAAAATCTCTGAAGATGCTTCCATGTAAAAAAAAAATCTTCATAAAGGCAACAATAATTTGAAATGTTTCAAAAATAAGACATTATACAACTTTTTACTAACTTGCTAATAAAGATCCAGTGGAGGTCAGGCATTAGTAAGCATTATTACATATGATACAGATACATGTTTTGGAGGCCATAATGTCATGGATCAAATTTATATGAAATAAGAACCAATATCAACCCTCTACAATATGAGACATGACATAATTTTAAGGAAGTTAGCCATAATATTATATTCTAATGAAAATGCCTTAATATTCATATATCAGTAAATAAGTTAAATTATATACTTGTTTCTTCAGCCATTCTTTGCCTAAGTGTTTGAGGCTTTAGGGTAAATGGTATTCTCTTTTCATGGTCATCAGGCTCACTCTCAGGGTCTTCATCATGGCTTCTCTCCGTACCAGAGATGGTGGAGGAAGGTTTTACATCCAAAGAAATATAGTCATCTTGGGCCCTGGCCAATTCACGTTTTCTGCGGGCTGCCTGAATAAAAGCTGCATCAGGGATCTTAACTGAAAGAAACAAAGAGAAGACACTGAACATCAAAGACCAACATAAAAATTCCTCACATTCAAAGAAAAAAGGAACCATTTTCCTCATGTTTCCTATTTTGATATATACATGTGACTTTAATAAAAGGCTCAAATTCTACATCAGTAAAGAAAGAAAATTAATAGGGGTTAGTTTCCATTTGGAGAAATAAACCTAATCTAGAAATGTCAGAAAATACATTAAAAACGACTCCATTTTCTCTTTTAATGCTCTTACTCATCAGGTGTTAGCTATTTCTCATTTCCGGGAGCTCTGAGATTGTCAGGGTAGGAATGTGGAGAGGGTTGTGAGGGGAGTTGTTCAGTCAGTGAGAACTGCAGAAGTTAAAAGGATCAATGACAGCCCAGTCTGGTTTATCAAATAGGAGAGCTACTACACTGTGATGCACCCCTTCCTTGTGGGCACTCATGCATGTAGGGACTCAGAAACAGACTACAACTGATGTAAGGCCAAGTCAGGTTCTGAGGGTTTGTGGCGAGTCCCACCTGAATAAACATGAGAAGTTAAAAAGTGGTATAAGGGAAATAATAAGGTTCATTTACCAGGTGAAATGTATTTAACAACTCTTAACAGAGGCTTATTTTCTTTTATCTTGAGTTTTTTTACAGTAATTAATATAATGCTCATTAATATAAATGCTTCCAACTCAAAATGTGTTTCTTCATGTATGACCTAAGCCAGAATTTATCTTCATACTCGGGAAAAAATGGCTTCTTAAGAATAATACTACCATAAACAAATGGCATGAGAAATTTGCACCATTTCAAGTACTTCATACTCTTAAGATGTCAAGCCAATAAGGCTCAAGTAAAATTCTCTAACTTTTCCCACAAAGTGGTCCAAATTCTTTAAAAAATAAATAGAAAGATGCCACATACATGAAGCTACAATAAAGAAATAAAAGTTCAAGAAAAAGAAGAGTATTCTGTCTTGTTTCTCCATATCTAGTACCTAGCTCAAGGGTTTTCACAGCCGGTGCTGGGCAATCACAGAATGAATAACATTAGCATATTGTTTTACAATGAAAACATGTTTTTACAGATTTATATCTCATGAATAATTTTTCCACCCACATCAACTATTTGATACCCAACCATCTAGGGCAGAGAGGTTAACTATCATCTCCCATTAGTAATAAGCAGTCTCTGCCACAGGGAATATTTCAAGGCAGATATTCCATTGGTGGATCATTGTAACAGTTCTATGATCTGCACACAAAACAAATGCTCTCCTTCCAAAAGCCAGTCCTTTAAATTATCACATGCCTTCATCTTTTCTTCTCCAGCCAATAAGCCCCTTGCACTTAAAAAAAAATGTTCCTCATAGCACAAGTTTTCAACTTTTAATCAGTATATGTCAATGGGCATTTGATGGAGAAGCAATTCTTCACTGTTCTGAACTGTCCTGCTCTCTGCAGGACATTGACCATTCCCTGCCTCCGAGGCGCTATGTGCCAACAATACCTCAATCACTACGATGATTAAAAAACTACTCCATACATTTCCAAATACTGCTCTCTCTCCTTAGGTGAGCAGTGCAGCCAACACCTTATAACCACTGCCTTACACTGTTTAATACACCATCTTCCATAGCAGCACTGTTCAGTAGTAGCCACTAGCCATATGTGACTATTTAACCAAACAAAAAATTTAGTTTCTCAGTCACACTAACCACACTGCAAGAGCTCAGCAGTCACATGTGGCCAGTGGCTACTCTACTGCACAGTGAAGACATCATCACAGAAAATTCTGCTGGAATTTTGTATCTATTGGAATTCTGTTTCTAGAATCTAGATAAGGCTTTACTTGTTTACCAGGCTTCAGGTCTTAATATTGGCTTAATTACTTAGTACTTCTGTACCTTGTGAACATGGATAAGAAAAAAAATTACAAGGCAACAGAGCGACTGATTATTATTTCATGGGTTAATAAATAAGCACTGATTACTATATTACACATCTTTTACGATACATTTTAAAATTTTGTTTCAATATAATTTGTCTTCTTTATAAAGTTAGGTGCTTTATTAGCTTTCTCAGAATGGGATTTGGGCTTCACTAAACTGAAAAAGAAGTCCATAGCACAAAGCGAGTTATAAACTCCTATAAAGGGCTAAATAAAAATTTCTGACTATGTAGGTCAGTCTCTTCGCTGCCACTTTTCAACTCTGCAACTGCAGTGCAAAACCAGCCACAAATAATATGTAATGGAAAGGGTGTGACTGTGTTAAAACTTGATTTCCAATCAAATGGGCTAGACTTGCCAATCCTGGAACTAGACTGATCTTTCTAAACATAAAATGGTTGTGTCACCTATCTTTGTAAAATTTTCAGTGGTTCCCCAAGGTCTGTATAATCTAACTCCAACTTGTGCCTCCTGTTTTGTTTCTTTTTCTTAAACTCTTAATCGAAGATTTCCAGCCAAACAGCTATTTTTAGTTCCCTGCACATATTAGGTATCTTCCCTAGAGTTTTAGATACACTATACCCTGTACCTGAAACATTCTTACTGACAAATTCTTCCAAGTTTGAAGGATTCTTCAAATCCTTCAAGTATCAATTGGAATTACCCAGTACAGCACAGTGATTAAGAACATAGGCTCTGGAGTAGAATGCTTGCGTTTGAAACCTAGCTCTGTCTCTTACAAGTTATCGGACTTTGGGCACATTATACAATGAAGATGAGCAGTCATTGATTAAGTCATCAGTAATGACCTACTTGCCTCATGTATCACTAGAGTTTGTTGTGTTATCAACAATAAAAATCACGAATGTAGAAAATACTAAGCCAGGCTCGGTGGCTCAGCCTGTAAGCCCACACCTTTGGGAGGCTGAGGTGAGTGGATTGCCTGAGCCCGTGGGTTCGAAACCCTCCTGGGCAACTTGGAGAGACCTCATCTCTACAATATATCAAAAATTAGCTGGGCATGGTCGCGCACGCCTGTAGTTCCAGCTACTTGGAAGGCTGAGGCAGAAGGATTGCCGGAGTCCAGCAAGTCGAGGGTGCGGTGGCCGGGAGCGGCCACTGCACTCCAGTCTGGGTGACAGAGTGAGACTCTAACTCAAAAAACAAACAAAAAAAGAAAATACTATATTAGAAAATTCTTAACCAAAAGTGAGCCCCTTCATATGAATTAACTTGTAGTAGCAGTTGTATTTTTCATCACCACAAATTGGCAGAATAATCCAGTCATCCTTCATGACAAAAATTACCAACCTGTTGATGACAATTCTTTTTCTTCCAGAGAGCTGGAGTCATCAGAAGATGATCCCTGACCATCCTGACTTTCTGAGGAGTAATGTGTTCCATCCTCTTCGTCTGTTGAAGGATCAACTCTTCTGGATTCTAACAGGACATTTTTTGAATAAAACAAAAATCAAGATAACAGAATCAATAATAGAAATTCTGAACAACACATGGTATATGTACAATACAGTGCTTTAATCTTACTTCATATGTTTAAAGCAGACATACAGCAGACCTTTCTCCAACTGTAGTCTTTCTGAAACAATTAAATGGTCTATCAAATGGACAAATATTTACCCTTTTGGTATAACCTACATAATTAAATAAAATATTTCCAAAAGGATGCAATGAGGGAAGGAAACATAAGGGAAAAAAAAGACAAAAATTGAAGTAAATATTACTTAAATATTAGAAAAGAAAAATGGTAGCGAATAATTAGAAAAGAAAAAAAATTTAATGTACACTTACTATTTGCTAGGCACATTGAAACCTGCTTTACACAACTTGCTTCACTTAATACTCACAATTCTGCAAAGTATATGCTATTTCTTTTATGAGGGACAACTAAGAATAGAGTGGACAACTAACACCAACTCAGTAAGTAGAGAAGCAGAGTTTTCAACCTAATTCCACCCAACTGCGGAATTTAGGTTCTCCTTATAGTGTACCATATTTCAATGGCTGGTGGCAAGAAGTGTTATAATGACCACTTTGGTCAAAATTAAAGTATGGGTGGATTTCCAGCAAGATGGTGATGAAACAGGTCAGACTACGAGAGTCTCTACAAAACTGAGTGCCCATAAAGACTCCCTGTGTGAGTGGGTGTGTGCGGCTGGGTGAGTGAAAGTCCATCTGAGGGCAGACTTGGGTTCATGCAGACTCCCTGTGTGAGTGGGTGTGTGCTGGTGGGTGAGTGAAAGTCCATCTGAGGGCAGACTTGGGTTCATGCACCCAGGGCTTTCCTCTGGAGGTGACTGCAACCCCCCACTGCCCTGAGATTGGAGCCGCCAGTGAGCACCATCGCCTGCTGTTCTTGGGGCTCTTCTGAGAAATGGCTGTGGAATACAGCTGCTCCTCATCCCATCACCTGTGACAACAGAGTGGCAGGAACCCTGGATCCATGGAGAGAGAGGAGGTAGGAGAGGTGGAGAGGGACCCCACCACTGGTAAGGAAACTCCAACCGGAGCCATTTTCTCTGTCCCAGAACCAGGCAGAGAACTGCATTGCCCCACCCAGCTCCAGCCATCCTCCAACCTGGGACCTAGAGATTATCTCATCAAACTCAGAGAGACAGACACTCCTCCTCCCATACTGGAACAGGCACAGCATATCAGATCTGAGTGGGAGACCTGACAACAGCAGCAACAAGCCAGGTGAATTCAGATCTGATCTACCCTCCTCCCATAGTAGGGGCATCTGACCATGCTGAGAGCAACCCTATCAGCCTGCACTGAGAGCAGAGAGGAGGGGGCTAGAGACTAGAGTGGAAAGGAAGTTGAGTTATGTGAGCAGCCTCAGAGTTTGTTTGTTTTGCTTGTTTTTCTTTGTTTTTTGGTTTTAGTTTTTTTTCTCTTCCCTCTTTTTCTGTTTTTGATTACTTTTTCATACTTTGTTTCTGCTATTTTATTGTTTTTTGACATCATGTTTGTGTATGGGTGTTTTTGAGGGAGAGTAAGAGGTTTCCTTGGTTTGTGTGTTTGTATGATTGTATGTTTTTATTTGTTTAATATTTTCTGTCTTTGTTTGGGTTTCTTTTCATTTGTTAGTTGGTACACCTGTCTGTTTTCCCGCTTCATCTTCTTGCTCTCCACCTCCCTCTCATCCCCCTCCTTCCCTTTTCCACTCTTTTCCCTTTTCTTATTCCACTTTGCTTTCAGGAGACAAACCTATACCCCCATTGCATGGAAAGACTGTAAGGAAGTAGGAAGATGATTCCAGGGGTCCCACACACCTGTCACTGGATACTGGGATATGCAGATAGTTTCTGAATCCCAGCTCCCATCTCAATTAAATCTCAAAACTGAAAAAGTACAGCCTCCCACCCACAGTCCAACTTCAGAAATGAACAAAGCCAGAGGATCCACATAAGGAAGAATAGGAGATAGAGCAAACAGAAATAAAAGCTACCCCCTTAACCCTGAACAACAGAATTAAAGAGGAGATTTTAAAAAGGGGGAAAGAAAATCTACACAAATGAAGAAAAACCAAAAGAAGAATATGGGTCTCACACACAGACCCCTGGGAGGTCAGCCACTGAGAATACAGACTTTCAACTGCAAACAATGAAGAGCCCCCAGAACATCTGGTCTCAAACCACAAACCCAGATATCAAGATATTAATAGAGAGAATAAACAGAATTGAGGAGAGACAAGAGAAAAGAATGAAGAATGATAACTGAGATAACAGCAATAAAGAATACAGTGAATGAAGCAAATAATAAATTGATAAGCATGGGAAGCAGAATTAACCAAGAGAAAAATCTCAGAGCTTAAGGACCAAAATATGGAACTACCCAAACTGTTAAAAACATAGAAAAGAAGTTTAAAAAGACAGAACAAATCCCTTGAGAGATGAGCAATTATCTCAAGAGGCCAAACCTAAGATTAATTGGAATTCCTGAGGCAGACAGAGAGACAGAGTTCACCCTGGAATAAACATTCCATGAAATTATCCAAGAAAACTTCCCTTATCCCATCAGTGATATAACCATTCAAACATAGAGATTCAGTGAACACCTATAATATAACAAATGAGAAGATCAATTCCTAGACACATAGCAATTTGCCTACACAAAGTAGGTATAAAAGAAAAAATCCTAAAGACACAAGAGAAAAAGGTCAGACTACCTACAAGGGAAGGTCAATAAGAATAGCAGCAAGACTTATCCACAGAAGCACTTCAGGCTAGAAGAGCTTAGAGCCCAATCTTCAAAGTTCTCAAAGATAAACAACTGCTCATCTTTCAAAAGGTTTCAAGAATTACCTACCCAGCTAAGCTTCATCAGTGATGGAGAATTAAAATCCTTCCCAGACATTCAATCCCTAAGCACTTATGCTGCCTACAGACCTGCTCTGCAAGAAACACTTAAGAAATCAAACACAGAAGAAAGGAAAAAAAGAATGACAATGCCCTTCCCAAGAATGCAGGAAAAAGATGGAAACCACACATGAATCAACCCAAAAATCAAAACAAAGACAATAAACAAACAGCAGAAACAATAACAAATCCCATAAGAACCTCATGACAGGGATAAACTCTCACATCTCAATAATTAGCCTGAATGTTAATGGACTAAATGCACCACTGAAAAACACAGAATGGCAAAATGGATAAAAATGTCATGAGGCAGCAAAATATTGTCTCCAAGACACTCATTTCACAAGAAAGGACACTCACGAACTCAAAGTAAGAGGATGGGAAACAAAATTTCAGGCAAATGAAACACAAAAGAAAGCAGGAGTTGTGATTTTAATATCAGACAAAATATACTTTAAGTTATCAAAAATTTAAAAAGATATGGAAGGTCACTACATAATGATAAAAGGTCCAATTCATCAACAAGAAATACCCATCCTAAACATATATGCACACAACATAGGAGCACCAACTTTCATAAAGTGGCTTCTAGGTAAACTTAAAAAAGATATTGACTCTAACACTATCCTAACTGGGGACTTAAATAGCCCACTCACAACCCCAGATCATCAAGACAAAAAAAAAAAAAAAAAAAATCAACAAGGAGACCTGGAACCTCAATGCTTGACCAAATGGACTTAATTGATACCTACAGAACACTCTACTCAACAACCACAGAATACACATTCTACTCATCACCACATGGAACATACTCTAAGATTGACCACATCCTCAGCCATAAATCAAGCTTAACAAATTCCGTAAGATTGAAATACTGCCATACACATTCTCAGACCACAGTGGGATACAAATAAATATCAACACCAACAAAGTTCCCCCAAAACCCACAAAGACATGGACACTAAAAAGTATGTTAAACAACTCCTGGGTCAACATGGAAATCAAGAGAGAGGTTAGCCGGGCTCGGTGGCTCAGCCTGTAATCCTGTGCTTTGGGAGGCTGAGGTGAGTGGATTGCCTGAGCCCATGGGTTCGACACCCACTTGGGCAACCTCATCTCTACAATAAATCTAAAACTAGCTGGGTGTGGTAGCATGCGCCTGTAGTTCCAGCTACTTGGAAGGCTGAGGTGGAAGGATCACCAGAGCCCAGCAGGTCAAGGCTGCGGTGGCCAGGAGTGACCACCGCACTCCAGTCTGGGAGATGGAGTGACACTCCAACTCAAAAAAAAAAAAAAAAAAAAAAAAAAAAAAAGGTTAAAAGATACCTGGAAACAAATAAAACCAAAGAAACATCTTACCAAAACCTCTGGGATGCCACGAAAGTAGTACTCAGAGGGGAATTCATAACTCTATGAACACACAAGAAGAAAATGGAAAGATCACAAGTTAACAGCCTCATAAACCACCCAAGGAAGTTGGAAAAGCAAGACCACCAAAACCCTGATTTCAGCAGGAGAATCCAGATCACCAAAATAAAAGCCCAAATTTGGGACATAAAAGACAAAAAAAAAGATAACATGAAAAAAACCCAACAAAACATAAAGCTGGTTCTTTGAAAGGATAGAGAAGATTGATGGACCCCTAGCTAGACTGACCAAGCAAAAGCCCAAATAAACACAATCAGAAATGCAAAGGATCAAGTTACAACTGACCCTGAAGAAATACAAAAGATTATCAGAGACTAATATGTACACTTGTATGGAAACAAACCTGAAAACCTAAAGGAAATGGAGAAATTTCTGACATCACACAACCTCCCCATGTTGAAACAAGAAGAAATTAAGACCCTAAATAGACCAATAACAATCCAGGAAATTGACTATGTCATAAGAAAACTACCTACAAAGAAAAGCCCTGGACCAGATGGCTTTCCAGCAGAATTCTACAAAACATACAAGGAGAAACTGATACCAATCCTGTTGAAAGTATTCCAGGCAGTTGAGAAAAATGAAACTCTCCCCAAATCATTTTATGAAGGTAAGATCTCATTGATACCCAAACTAGGTAAAGATCCAACAAGGAAAAAGAACTACAGGCCAATATCTTCAATGAACATAGACACTAATATTCTCAACAAGATCCTAGCAAACCAGATTCGACAACACATCTCAAAAATCATCCACCACAACCAAGTAGGCTTCATCCAAGGGATGCAGGGCTGGTTCAATATTCACAAGACCATAAACGTGATTAAGTACATCAATAGATGTAAAAACAAAAACCACGTATCATCAGACACGGAAAAAGTCTTTGACAAAATCCAGCACTCTTTCTTGATTAAAAATCCTCGAACATCTAGGCATAGTTGGAACATACCTCAAAACAGTAAGAGCCATCTACGAGAAACCCACAGCCACATATACTAAACACAGAAACTGGACCCATTTCTCCTGAAAACTGGAAAAAGACAAGGATGCCCATTCTCACTCCTCCTTTTCAACTATTTTTGGAATTCCTAGCCAAAGCAATCAGACAAGAGAAGGAGATCAGGGATATCCAAGTAGGAAAAGAGGAAGTCAAGTCATGATTATATACCTCAAAAACCCAAGAGAATCTGTGAAAAACCTTCTTGCGCTGATAAAGGACTTTGGCAAAGTCTCAGGGTATAAAATAAATGTGCAAAATCCAGCTGCATTCTTATATACCAACAGCAAACAAACAGAAACCCAAATAAAAAGCACAATTCCATTCACATCAGTCACAGTCACAAAAAGATGAAATACCTTGGCATCTTCCTAATCAAAGACTTTTACAATGAAAACGACAAAACACTGCTCAAAGAAATCAAGGATGACACAAACAAATGGAAAACATATTCCAGGTTCATGGATTGGAAGAATCAAATTGTTAAGATATTCATCCAACCCAAGCCAACCCACAGATTTAATGCAATACCCATTAAATTACCAGCAGCATTCTTCTCAGACCTGGAAATAACAAAACAGGACATATGGACACATAAACAACCATAAATAGCCAAAACAATCCTCAACAAAACAACAGCAAAAAGCAGGAGGTATCACACTCCCAGATTTTAAACTTTATTATAAAGCTACAATAATCATAACAGTCTGGAACTGGTACAAGATCAGGCATATAGACCAATGGAACAGGATTGAGATTCCAGAAGCAAAACCTCAATTTCTCAACCAACTCATCTTCGACAAAGCCATTACCACCAACCACTGGAGAGAGGAGAACCTATTCAGTAAATGGTGCTGGGAAACTGGCTGATCACATGCAGAAGATTAAAATAAGATCCCTACCTATCACCATACACAAAAATAAACTCTAAATGGATCAAAGACCTAATAAACATAAAACCTCAAACTATAAGAATCTTAGAAAACACAGGAGACATCCTTATGGAAATCAGAACTGGCAATCAATTCCTGATCAAAACTCCAGGTACCCATGCCATAAGAGATAAGATAGACAAGTGGAACCTCATCAAACTGAGAAGCTTCTGCAAAGCCAAAGAAACTTTCCTGAGAGCAGGAAGACAGCCCACAGACTGAGAAAAGACATTTGCCAACTTCATGTCTGACAAAGGCCTAACATCTAGGATCTACAAGGAACTCAAACATGCCTAAAAGAAAAAAACAAACAGCCCCATTACAAAATGGGCAAAAGATATGAATAGACACTTCTCAAAAGAAGACATACATGCAGCCAACAGATACATGACAAAATGCTCAGCCTCACTAGTCATCAAAGAAATGCAAATTAAAACTACACTGAGATACCACCTAACTCCAGTCAGGATGGCCATTATCAATAACTCAAAAAACAACAGACGCTGGAGATGATGCGGTGAAAAGGGGACACTTCTACACTGTTGGTGGGAGTATAAACTAATAAAATCTCTGTGGAAAACAGTTTAGTCATTCCTAAAGGATCTAAAAATTGACCTTCCATACAACCTCACAATCCTCCTACTGGGAATATACCCAGAGGAACTCAAATCACTCTGTGAAAAAGATACCTGCACACGTATGTTTACTGCAGCACTGTTCACAATAGCAAAATCATGGAACCAACCGTGCTGCCCAATGAGAGAACTGGATTAAAAAAGTGTAGTACATATATACAATGGACTATTTGTAGTCATAAAGGACAAAATTATGAACTTCACAGCAACTTGGATGGACTTAGAGTCTATAATACTGAGTGAGCTATCACAGAAAGAAAGAACTGAGTATCACATGTTCTCTCTCATAAGCAGATCTTGAACAATTATCATTAACACTATAAGAAAAGGATTGGCAGTAGAGGGAAACTGCTGGAGTGAGGGGGGGAAGAGAGAGGAATTGGCAATAGTGGGAATCTGCTGGGGGGGCACACCTCATCAACAAGGGTACCTGCATAATGAACATATGTATACCTAACCCTGAATTGTACCCCACATCTTTAAAATAAAAAATAAAATTAAAGCATGGGTCTATCGTTTCAGTGCCTGATTTGGGAAGGATACTTAGTCTGTTAAGTTCATCTATTAAGCAAAGATAAACATTAAGAGATGAAACCTACAGGGGTGTTATAAAAAAATGAATGAACAAAAATGTAAAGGAATTATTGACATTACTGGCAAGAAAAGATTTGTTAGCTCACAATAATTTTGCAATCTTTATGAGTAACCTTAAAACATAATCTTACATAGCACTCAATTTTTTTTTTCTTTTTTTTTTGAGTTGGAGTC